TGCAGAGTCGCTGGAGCCTGCCGGTGACAGCTTTAGCAGCATTTCATGTGTGGCTGGACAGGAATTGTCTCCCGAGTCCCGCTGGGATGTGATGGGTGCAGTTCTCCCATGGGCAGCCAGGAAAACCAGGATGCTGCAGAGCCCACTGGATGCATCGGACTGGGGTCCCCCATTGGTGCCTGCTGGCCCCGGGGCAGGGGGAGCCCGAGGGGTCGCTCATGAGGAATTCTGGGTCCCTTGTAAGGAATTCTAGGTCCTTCATAAGGAATTCCAGATCCCTCATAAGGAATTCTGGGTCCCTCCCAGGATCAGCTCTACCAGAACTAGACCCTGTTCTTGCTGCAGCCCTTGTCCCCCCTCTCCTGCCTCGGCCCAGCTTGTCCTGCCAGGAATCCAGTGAGGAAGCTTGGGATGGGTGAACTCAGCTCCCTGATCCAAACTCGACCTCCTTCAATCCCTTTCCCCTGCAGAAAAGGTCAAGGAGCAGGTTTGGGATCAGTTTTCCCCTTGCTTTGTCCTCCCTGGTTTGCCTATTCCTGTGGCGAAGCTGCTCCTGTGTCAGGCGGCGTATTCCAGGGAGGGATGAGCTTTGTCCCGAGTGAAGCACCAATTCTGAGCTAGGGGGAGGAAGGGGGGGTGGGGGGGTTGTGGCTTTTCCTTCTATTTGAACTGGCTCCTAATTAATAATTGAAGGAGAATGGGGCTGCCAATTCCCATCCTCTGCATTGGAGCAGCTTTTGTTCTCTGTGGCAATGCTGCCGACCTGAGGAGCTGTGTTCTTGGGCAGCCCTGGCCCTGCCGGCCTCGGAGCGCTGAGCACAGCAATGGCAACTGGGCAGGATGTTGTGGGAGCAGGTTTGGAAGGTGCTGTTTGTACCTTGGGCTCCTGGAAGCTTTGGGAGCACAAGGAAGATTGATGCTGGAAGCAGAGGTGGGCAAGAGGCAAACACAGCTCGGGAACAGGAGGGGAATGACAGGGTCCTGGTGGGGAACAGGGAGAGGGACCATGGGAAGCTGTTCCTGGGGGTCTGGCACGAACCCAGCTGAAGAAGAACAGCACATCACTGGGTGCTGTGAGGGAGAGCATCATGGAGTGAACCCACCACCAACATTGGTGTGTGTTGGGCTCCCGGAGGAAAGTGAAGGGATCTGGACCATGACATGGAGCAGGATGCAGTGGCTCAAGGCTTTGTCCTGCTTTGTCCAAGCTCCTCTCCAGCACCAGGCCATGAGGGGAGGGGAGGGTTAAACTGAGCCTCCTGCCTGGACTTGAATTGCCAATGACCACTTTCCTGCTGCTTTGGAATGTTAATGCAGGGAAGGAGCTTCCCAGCCCTCTGCAAGGGAGTGTGGCTGCTCAGGTAAGGAATGGCTTGTTCTGGAAGCGGAGCAAAGTCCCTCGTCGTCTGTGGAACAAAGGGTGGGTGGAAGTGTTGAGAGAGAGGAACCAGTCAGGCCCACTTTGAATAATGCAGCAGTTGTGGAAGGGCAGGGAGCCCCCCTGGTCCAAGCAGTGCCCCGAACACAGTGATGAACAGCTCAGCTGTAAGTGGTGTAGCTGTGCAGGATTTGGTGTTGCTGGAGGTTACTCACTCTTTACTCATTAGATCCGTGCTGAGGAGGAAGCGGCTCCATCTGTAAAGCAGTCGGGTCACATCCAGCCACGCTTTGAGCATGGCAGGTCCTGAGTGAAGCAGCACCCAGGCTCCTGCTCCCAGGGATGCACCGAGGAGCCGTTTTGCTGCCTGGAAACCGGGAATGTGGAAATGGCGACAGGTCTTTGGGAAGGTTTTGGTTGGAGCCACAAAACCCCAAATGTGGGAGAAACTCCACTTGAAGCTGGTCCTGGGGGCTTAAAGGAGTTTCCATAAGAGCTGATGGAGTGTTTCATAGAGCAAAGGGCTTGGTCCTTGGGGAGCTTGCTGCTGTTTGGCGGGGTGGATCCTTCCTGGCATCGCTGAAGGATCCTGCATTGGTTGCTCCAATAAACAGCCCTGCAACACACGAGGAGGTGCTTTAGGATGAAGCGTTTCTTCCCACCGCAGTGCCTGGAGGATGCAGTAGGAGCAGGGAAGCAGTGGGGGCTGTGGGCACCAGCCCATGGGCTCTCCCATCAGCTCAGTGTGATGGGGGGGTGATGCAGAGGGATCAGGACACAGTGCCTGAGCTTTGGGCAGGAGCCTCTCCTGTCCCATGGGATGGGATTAGGATGTGCTGGTGGCCCCAGTCCTGCAGTGCCGGTGTTTAACATTCCATCCTTCCCGCACATTCCCAGTGTCACGGCAGAGCCTGTTTAATGAGTGCTCAGGGGCAGTGTTGGATGGATCCGTGCATGACAAACACCTTCCCGTCCACAGGACTGGGGCTGAGCTGCGGCCCTGGAAGAGTGAGTTGGAAACAGAGCTGATGGGATTGAGCGGCTGAGGATGGGCAGAGCTTCATCTTCCCTGGTCCCGTGTCCTCGGAAGTGGCTCCGCAGGGATGTTGAGGGAAGATCGCTGTTCTCAGCGCTGGCAAAGCCACTGACAAGATTAAGGGCTGGAAAGTTGGGAATTTGGCCTTGGGAAGCTGGAGGGAATCATGCTCCTGGGGCTAAAGGGGGAAGGATGGATGAGGAAGGGTTTAACTGCTCATATGCAGCCTCCACAAGAGCCTGACCTTTCCATCACGCTCGGGTCTGGCAGGGGTTGGAGGCAGCTGGTTTAAATGCTACATCAATGTCTCTGGAAGTCAGTGGGGTGGCTCGGAAGCGCATCCCGGTTATTTAGATGGGGTGAGGGGAAGAACACAGATCAGCAGCTCGGAACAGCGGCCCTATGGCACATATCCCTCCCCTGGTGCTCCCCAAAGCCACCCGAGGAGCTTGCTCTGGTTCTTCTCCAGTTCCTTGCAGGGCTTGAGGCATCAGGGTGCAAGAGAACACTCTCCCAGCAGTGAGCCCCTGCTTGGAAGCACGTTGTGTTGTGGGATCCCTTTCCTGCAGCCCCTGGTGACACCAGGAGCTCGTGTGGGGCTCAGGTTTATGTGCCCCCTGCTCGCTGGTGGCCCACAGAGCTGGTGCTGACGCCTGTCTCCATTATGGGTCTCTCCTGGAACATTTAAGCATTGACTTGGAGATTGTGGCTGGCAGGAACACAAGCTGCTGGATCTTCCAGCCCATTTATCAGTCTGCTTGCCATTTGTATCTGCAGGTGGAGGAGACTCTTAACCACTGCTTGAGGCTCCTGTGCTGCTTTTAACTCCTTAGTGCTGGGCTGGCCTGAGTATGGACGTGGAGTGTGAGTTGCTCTGCCCCAGCACCCACAGCTCTGGATCAGTTTAGGGTTAGGAGGGCATTGGCAAACTTGACTGGGCAGAACCTGGTCCTTCAGGCTGGGATGGAGCTGATCCCAGCAGCTCCCAATCCCCTGCTGGTGGTGGCAGGGTCAGGCAGCAGATGCTCTACACTTGTAGGCTTCAGTGTTCTCCTTGGCAAAGCAGCAGCTCGGAGCTGACCTCCCCCCTCTGGTGCCTGGTGCTCAGAAGAGCCTTTCCCTCTGCTTTGCCTTTGCAGATCCATCTGGCTTTGTTTTTGACGTGCAGTCCAACACTGTGCTGGCCCAGGGAGGCACCTTTGAAAACATGAAGGAGAAGGTAAATGTGTTTGCTGAGACCCTCAACTGCCCCGTGCTGGGGAGCTCCTGGTGCTGTATCTTCATCTCTCGAAGGGGAAGGATGGTGCTGGCCTGGAGCTCACTCCATCAAAAGCCAGGTTTTACACAGGCTAAATGGTGTATGAAGAACTCCCGGGGTCTGGTTTGGGTGGGATGAAGGACGTGGGTTCTCCTTGTCCCCTTCTGCCCCCTCCAGATCAGCGCGGTGAGAGCCATCGTCCCCAACAGGAGCAACAACGAGATCGTGCTCGTGCTGCAGCACTTTGACAACTGCGTGGACAGGACGGTGCAAGCCTTCATGGAAGGTACGTGAGGCTGGTGGCCTGGGGGGAGCTCAGTGCCTCAGCACATCCACAGACACCTAATGGGGACCTAGCTCTTAGCTGGGGGTGTTTGCAGGCTCAGAGATAAGTGGTTGATGGCTCTTGAGGTTTGATGAGGGCCGGAGCTCCTGCCCCTGTGGACAGAGCGGGAGTGTCTCAGGCTTCTTGTACTTTGCCTGGGCCTGGCTGGGTGGATTTGCTGCCCTGGGGAGGTGCCAGTGCTGGGCTCTGCAGCTCTGCCTGCACTGCCCATCCCTGACAGCTCCTCCTCAGGCTGCAGTCCCCGGACAGTCGGTGTCTGGGGAGAGCCCAGCAGGGAGCAGAGTCCAGCCTGTGCTCCAGCAGCTCCTGCAGCCTTCAGTGGGCAAAGCCAGAGGGAAGGGGTGGCTTTTCCTTGGTCTTTTAATGCTGGCCCAGTGTTTGAAGGGAGGAACCCCCATTCTCAAAGCAAAACTGAAACCAGTCCCTGAGAGCACTGACCCTGAGCTGTGTGGAGTGTTCAAGGGGAGAGCCTCACCCCTGCCTTTTGTTCCAGGCAACGCCAGCGAAGTACTGAAGGAATGGACTGTAACAGGCAAGAAAAAGGTAATGCTTTTACAATGCACTTTGCCAAAGCCTTTCCCTTTGTATTCAGAGCTTCAGACCCAGAGGAGAGGCAAAGAGCAGCGGTGCTGTTGCAGTAGCTGTGGGTTAGCAGTGTCTGGCTGCTGGGGCAGTGATTTACAGAGCGAGCTGTACCCAACACCTTCAACCACATTTGCATTTGCTGTAGTTGGGCTCGTGTCCTCGCTGCTGCTTCATTCCACTGACCCACGTTGTGGGGGGGATGTGGGCCAGGTCCCCTGGTCCCTGCAGAGCTCTGCTTTAACTCCCCCCAGGCCGGGCACATTGCTCCGTTTGTCAGCAGAGCTGAGCAGTCACGTTCGGGGCTGAGCTCTGTGGACGTGGTTTTCTTTGTCACAGCAGCTTTTGGGGGTGTTTTGCTCAGCAAAAGGGTTAAACGGAGCTTTGCAAAGTTGCCACATTTGATATTCTAATGCCTGAATCCACCAGGACCAGGAGTCAAATCATCATTATTCAAAAGGACTCCTTTGAATACATGAAGAGCAGCAGCATGAGATGGGGAGGGCAGAGGGGAATTGTGGCTGTGTGGCCTGTGCTGGGCAATGAGGGGAGGTTGAGCACAGCACCCTGGCAGTGCACCCCTGGGTGCTCTCCGGTGCTTCCCATCATTGCACAGCCCCTGTCTGCTAAGCAGGGCGCTGCTCTTGGTGCTTTGTGCCTTAATGCAGTTGGATCTGTGCTCATTGTTGAGCAAATCCCTCCTGCTGTGCCGGGGATCAGGAGCCCCTCGGGCTCTAAAGCCTTTAATTTAGCTCCTTTCTGCAGGCAGAAGCAGCTTCGTTTTCCCTTCAGGAATTACACTTAATACTTTTCCCCCCTCTTTGTGTTGTGATTCCCAATCCTCAGAACAAGAAGAAGAAACCCAAACCCAAGCCACAGGCAGAGCCCAGCAGCAGCCTTCCGGAGCCCGGGAAACCATCGTCCAGCGGGGAGGAGGTGCCGGGAAGCGCCGGGAAGGGCGGGATGAACGGATTCCATGTTAACGGCTGCACCCACGACACTGAATCCGTGGATTCGCTCAGTGAAGGGCTGGATGCGCTCTCCATCGACGCCAGGGAGCTGGAGGAGTGTGAGTGCGCAGCGGGGCCCCAGCGAGCAGGTCAGTGCCCAGCAAGCACCGCAGGGACCTGCTGGAGCAGCTCTGCTCTGGAGCCAGGCTGAGAGAGCTGGGCTGCTGCAGCCTGGAGAAGAGAAGGCTCCTTGAGGGGAGACCTTAGAGCAGCTCCAGTGCCTAAAGGGGCTCCAGAAAACCTGGAGAGGGGCTTTGGACAAGGGATGGAGAGACAGGACAAGGGCAATGGCTTTAACCTGCCAGAGGGGAGATGGAGATGAGCTCTGAGGCAGAAGCTCTTCCCTGTGAGGGTGCTGAGGCGCTGGCACAGGGTGCCCAGAGAAGCTGTGGCTGCCCCATCCCTCGGAGTGTTCAAGGCCAGGTTGGACACAGGGGCTTGGAGCAACCCAGTCCGGGTTGGACACAGGGCCTTGGAGCAACCTGCTCTAGTGGCAGGTGTCCCTGCCCAGGGCAGGGGTTGGAGCTGGAGAAGCTGTAAGGTCCCTCCCAACCCATTCCAGGGTTCTATGAGACGGGCACCGAGTGTTCCCAAAGCAGAGGAGCTGCCTCCTGCCCCTCTGAGGCCAGCTGAGCTCTGAGGGGCTGGTCTCTGCTCTGCTTTGCTTGCAGTGATTGCGGCGGGCAGGCCCTCCCAGCCTTGCCCTTTAAAGCAGTGTGCTTTCCTACAGCAGTGCCTGAACTAGAGAATGGGATAGCAGACTTTGACACACAATCGCTCACCCTGCATCCTTCCCAGAGCCCTTCGTCCCTCAGACAGCGGCCCGAGCACAGGAGCACGGGCAGGTCTCTGTCCAGGTCAGCACTGAGCCACTCCACTCCTGCCTCCCTGTCTGCAACGCGCCTCGAGGACGTGCCTGTGTCTCCTGCCAACAGGAAGCTGGGTAAGACCTGAGGCTCTGCCCCCACAGTGTCAGCTCTGCCCCCCCAGTGCTGGCTTTGTCCCCCCATTGTCAGCTGTGCCCCGCCAGTGCCAGGGCAGGTTGCTGCAGGCCAGGCTCTTGCTGTGTCTGTGCTGTCAGACGGTGCTGAGCCAACTTGACATTGATTTTAATACAAACGAACGTCCTGGTTGTCATCTGGGCAGCTCATTGCACCCTGCCCCACCTCGTCCCTTCTTGCTCCGCCCCCCACCCCGTGCAGCAGGGACCTGTGGCAGTGGTTTAGCTGCAGTGCCTGGAGCAGCAGAGAGGGTGGGAGCGGGGCCGGGCCCGCTCCTCACAGCGCCTCCAGCCTGGTTCTCATGTGGGTGAGAAAGGCCACAAGTTGGGCACATCCTGTCACCAAGAGGTGGCAGCCACTGCCTCTGCCCCCTGTTCTCCCCTCTCGCCCTGCGTTTTCTGCACAGCTGAGCTCTGACAGGAACCACTGGGGACAGGAGGCACCTCAGACCCCACTGCTGGTTGCTCAGTGCAGGGAGATGAGGTGGTGGCACTCGTCCTCCTCCCGCACGGGGATGCTGTCAGGAGCTGGGTTAATGCAGCTTGGCAGGAGCAGTGAGCTCCAGAGAGCTGGGCAGGGGCTCCCTGTGGGGCCAGAGCCATCCTTTCAAGGAAAGAGCCTTCGTTTTCCTTTCCAAGAGGATTCCCTCCAGGCAAAGCATCAGGATGTGCCAGGTGTGCGGCCTTTAGAGCAGGTCCCCACCACAAATGCATTTGGTTTCTCTTGGGAATTGGGAAACGTGGAGGGATATCTCTGCCACAGAGGGAAGTGCTGGAAGCCTCGCACTGTACCTGCTGAGCCCAGTGCCTGCCATGGGGAAGGGAGATTGGAACCCAAGCTAGGCCTGGTGTTAAAAGAAGAGGCAATGCTGTGGTGGGAGGGCTGGGCGGTGTCTGGGGCTGCTGGAGCTCACTTGTGTCTCTTGGTAGGTTCTAACATTGAGAAGTCAGTGAAGGATCTCCAGCGCTGCACCGTGTCGCTGGCGCGGTACCGGGTGGTAGTCAAGGAGGAGATGGATGCTTCCATCAAGAAGATGAAGCAGGTCTTTGCTGAGCTGCAGAGCAGGTGAGTTTAATGCAGGGACAGATCCGGGTGTTCCGGCCTTGGGAAAATCCATCTGGAATAAAACAGCTTTCCAAGGGCTGGAGCAGCTCTGCTCTGGAGCCAGGCTGAGAGAGCTGGGCTGCTGCAGCCTGGAGAAGGGAAGGCTCCTTGCGGGGCGACCTTGGAG